AAGAGTCTTTCTGTCCTTCTGTACACAGATATCACGCAAAAACCTCGCTAAATTACATTCGATAGCGGTCAAAATGGATATTTTCGTTGAAATATGTTGCCTGAAACTTTTTGCGATTACAATACTCCTTTTTTGTACAAGGAAGTAAAAATAAGACAGCCAATGCATTTTTAATGTTTAGTGGGAAAGCTGAAAGATTGTAATTTCAGTAAATTATATTGATGCAAATTTCACTAGAGATCGTGCATTTCGGTAGATGTGTAGTATTTGGTAATATAACTACATATAAAACATTTTTTAGTAATCTCTGGAAATAAAAATGAACTAATGAATTAATATGTACACTTGTGTGTACTGTGATTGGCATTTGCCACAAACATTATTTTTAGTTGCTAGTCTAGTCTTTATTTAATAGCTATGCATAGTAAAATTTAGTTTAGCATATTATAAATACAAGGTTTGTACAGTCCTTAGGTTTTTGGAATTGATTTTTGGTCCTAAGTTCCTAATTTCATCCAAAATTGAAGGTCTGAAATATTGGTCTGTTTTTAAGACTGCAGTTTTGAATGTGAATTAGCATTTTGGAGGAATACTTTTCGCAATTCACTGAAAAATATAGTTATCATTTGAATTTGTTCCTCTTTCTAATATAAACAGTGCAGTACACAAGTTTCTAGGCAAGAAATGAAACATGCGCATTTGAAAAAAAAATTTTTTTCTAATGAAGCAACTTTTGCCTTTGAGAATATGAATTCTTTAGTTGAATGGCTCTAAATTTAGTGACATATCAACATTTTGGTGATTTTTTTAATATATAACATTAATAAATTGCATCAAAATAATGGTAATATATTGAAATTAAATTTACAAAATGACATTAAAATAAAACAGTTTTATTTTTCCATGCAATATTATAATGTAAATTTAATTTCAATTTTGGTGACTTATTACTACAATATTTTGAATCTAAAAAATAAGAGTAATAAATGCTATAAAGCATTTTACAAAAAAATTCTTAGGAAAAGTAGATTAGCTATGTAATTGTCTTAGAATATCCAGAATTTTCAGAATGTGCATTTTTTCCCCCATTTTGAGATACATTGTTGAGAGGACAAATTAGGAGATAAAGCAGAAAAATTGTTTTGCATATTGAAACAATTTTTTTTGTCAGAAAAGCTGCTTAAAGAGAAGGAAATTGATATAAATTAGCCAAAAAGTCGGGGAAGGTTTCAAATTGAAAAGATGCATAACTATTTTATTGTGTGTTCTTGCTTTAATGTGTAGCTAGTAGTGTATAATTATCCTAATATTTAAGAATCAGTGCCATAAATTACATGTGTTTGAAACTGAAGTGTTATTAGATAGTAATTTTAATGCTTTTTTGTATATTTTTAAAAAATGAATAAAATTTAATAGTTATCTATAATGACTATTTAACTACTTAATTTAATTACTGTTAAAAGTTATCTGCACGTTAAAGCAAGTTATTGCCTGTCATTAATCCTTACTGTGGTCACAAAAATATAGTTAATGTAAAACTTATTCTTTGCAGCTAATGAGACATAAAATAACACAAAACAACTTACTATCTCTGGTGCTTTATTGGAACCTTAAAGTATATTAACTGGATTATAACTCCAGGAGCTCTTCACGAAGCTATGACACTAACTGTCTTAGACGAGCACAGCATAACTAACTTTGAAAACTTGCTAACCGTGCGAATATCAGGCATTCAGGTCTGTTCTGATAATAGTTTTCTCTCTAGGCTAGCAGCAGCAGTGGCAAACAGCTGATCTTCTGTTATTAATCTTGCTGATTATGATTTTTCTTCTCATTTTAAACTATGCCGTTTGAAGACTTGCCAACTCTCCCGATTTAGGCGGGAGACTCCCGATTTTCGACCGCTCTTCCGCCAACCCGATTTACAATATATTTCTCCCGACTTTTTCTTATTCTTAAAATTTCTCACATTTTTATGGACTTGGCTTAATTTGTTATATGAACAAAAAAGTGATTTGGGGACGTCCGAACAAATGAATTTTCTCTAGATTATATCTGAAAACAAAACTTGCGAATTAGATAACTTCTCTTTGTGAGTGAGAGCATATACGTATCCAGAAACGTCCTCCAGTTCTCCAATGGCATCGTGCTCCACTGTGTGTCATCTGGCATATATTAGCCAATGAGGACACAAGCTGTTATTTGGATGTTCTTTAGTTTTCTGTCATTTTGTGTGAGTCTACTGCCTTCGGGAAATAGTTTTAGAAATTATCATCTTTTGTATGTCCTCGAGAAGGTGAAATACTCGTGTCGTTCAAATCGTACACAGTTGACTTTCCTTCCATTATTTCCCAAGGAAATGTAAAATTTGCTATGTGTTCCGCTGTCGTGCGATTTTTCGATTTGCATGGTGGAAGGGCGATGTTCTCAACATGCGTACACAAACACAGGGCAACATGAGCTGTTTTGAAAAAAAAAAACGAAAAATTAAATTTTCTTCGGAAACAAAGAACCAAAGTTATTAATGCAGAAGTCTGTTCTCTGCCTTTTACTGGAGCAACAACCTCCCACTTAATGTATCGGATCACGCTGCGCTTTATTTAGAAAAATGTTTTCCTGATAGTGAAACGCTAAAATCTTCGTGCAAGAACCAAAAGAGGTGCAATTGTTAAAGAAATGGATTGAAAATAATCTTCACTTAGGTGTATTTAATTATGGCAAAGCACACTAGGGCTATCTGCCTAAGGAGGATGCCCTTTCGTGGACTTTCTAAGGGAAACTGGCGTATACACGTTACACATAGGGAAACCCACGAAAACACCCAGCAGCCACCCGTTCGCGGGATTCGAACCTCGGACGGAACCCAGTGTTCAGCGACTTTACCGCTCGGCCCGCGTGGGCCCTTCACTTATTGATCGCATTAAAACACTCCGTTCTGCCTCCTCTATGGAGGAAGCAATATACCAATTCAAACGTATCCAATTGTTTCTTTTTTTAATCCAGAGTCTTCAGAAATTGAGTGCAGTTTACTTTCTGTCCCACATAAGAGGACATTTGACAGGCTTTAATATAGCACAGCTAATTATTAAAACTTTAAAAGAAAATGCAGTCCCTCTGGATAATGCTTAGCACTTGGTGCCGAATAATGCACCCTGTATTGTAGGCTTGAGACTGGTGTTGCAGGCATCTTCAGAAGGAAAATTCAGATTGCAGATTATGAGGTGCACCTGTCACCTCTTAAATTAGCAGCTAAAAAGGAGTAGCTTCTTTACCAATAAATGTGGATGAATACATTTTTGATATTTATTATAATCTTGAAGAGTTCTAAAAAGGAGGGAAAATTGAAACAGGTCTAACGCTGCATAATAGCAGTTTATAATTAGAAAACTTGGATGAAGTTATAAAATCAGCTAGGATTGACACCCAGTGGAGTTTAATTGGAAAACTGAAAGATGCTGATGGAATTTTAAACTATAGAGAACTGTCTAGGATTATGTTGGCCATCTTGACAGTTCCCCATAGTAATGCAGAGTGTGAGAGGATTTTCAGTGTTGTGAAAACGAGGACTAAATTTATATCTAATATTAGTGATGACACATTAGAAAACTTTTATTAGTGAAAGCAGGCCTACGTGGCAATTGCTATGAACAAAGGTTTCTTAAAGAAAGCAAAATCTGCCACCGTTTATAACATTTGTACAAAAACTGATTAAAGTGTTTTTTTTTTTTTCCTTAAACGATGCAAGTAATAAAAATATTTTTTAAGTGTAAGTATAAAAGGTTTTTGTAGGTATTTTTGTGTTGCTTGCATTTAAGAATTAGTTACTATTTAAAGTTAATTCATTATTAAAAACTATATTTTCCTCATTTAAAAAGTCTTTTTAACATTGTGAAAAATCTCCCGATTTCTTAAAAAAATCTGATTTTTGAGTGTCATAGGTTGGCAAGTATGCGTTTGACATAAAATCTGCCTGTTATTTACTAAACCTCTAGACTGAACAAGTGTATGACGAAATGAGGAAAAAAGGGTGAACATAAGCTAACTGTTAGAAAAAGGTTATTAAAATGCCACTGATCTTCATTAAATTTATATTTTATTCTTAGGATGGTATTACAAAAGTGAAGTTCGGGCATAGATAGTATCTTTAATTGAATTTATTCAGTTCCCATTTACTAATAGGTCCTTAAAGGTTTGTAAAAGTACTTAATTTTCATATGCAGACGTGTACAAACCCTGTAAACATCATTACTTTGGAATGTGAAGTAACATGTAAAAGTTCTTTGTCTCCTCTATTAAGAAGATATTTTAAACAGTTTGCGTATTCATTTGTAGAATATCTCGTATTTTGATTTATCATTTAATATATTAAATGATAAATCAAAATATTGCCCAACAGTGACATCCAATTAGCCATTTGGGATACTTGTGCCTTATTGGTAGTGATTGGATAGTGTTAAGGCCACAAACCTAGGTGCAATTTGGTGATTGTTTACTGATTAAAGGGTGAAATGGTTGGTGGTTTTCTCAAATTTTTTAAATCAATATTTATCATAATTTGGCAAGTGTTATGTGAAAAGTTAACGTACTTTAGCAATTTAAAATACAAATTTTAATTGTTAATAATTAACAAAAATAAAGCATGCAAAAATGGCTATGTTGCTTGACTATGATAAGAATGGTTGCCAGAGTTAGGCACATTCTAAAAATTGGCGACCTCTGCTTAAAGTGGTTGCGAAAACTTAAGAGTGCTATTTATTGTTGTAGTTCTGAAAAGTGCCACATTGTTCATAATGGTGAGTTTCTGATGTTTGGTCTTTAGTATAATTCAGTTGAACTCACCCACAAAAGATAGGTGTTGTTTACTTGATAGCCATGTATTAAGTGTAACATTTTTTGAATTTGTTTAGGAATTCCCTCAGAAGACAAATTTTAAATGAAATGAAGTGTTACATTTATGTAATTTGAGCCTTGTTTTTTAATTGATATGCATTTTGTTTTAGGTACGTGCTGCAGAATCTCTGATGAAGCTGATATCTGATATCAAACAGTATCTCATTTTAAATGATTTCCCATCTGTCAATGAAGCTATCTCTCAGAAAACAAAGGTGTGCCGTGCTCTTCAAGAAAATATAGATTCTAAATTGGCTGCATTACGAGATGATATGGCTGCTGAGTTGTATGATCTTGAAGAAGAATATTATTCATCAGTATTCAAGTTAAAACCTATGTTTTCTGAAGAAAATGTGTTAAATCAATAAGAATATAATTTTTATTACATCGAAATGTTAAATGCTGCTGATATGCAGTTTATTGCAGATTCTCAAATGTGATAAAGTCATTAAGTGCTGTGTACAGTTTTCAACTTTCATGGTAACACTGGAAGACTTAAAATTCCCCCTCCCCAATATGTCTCTGTACAAATAAAAAAGTCCTATTAATTTCATCTAAATAAAATTTCAACTATTTTGGAAGAATTATGAGAGTTGAAGGGAAAATGATTGCTATTTTTTAAGCTTAAATTATATAGATTTCATTGTTTTTTCAACATAATTCTGCTGATTACAGGGTTGCCACTCAGAGAATGAAATTCCCTGACTTTTCCAGGTGTTTTTTGAGAAAATTCCAGTCTATCCGCATAGTGCGCGTTGGCTGCACTGAGAGGTAAAATTAATTATGGTACCACTTGAAAACACAAAAATTTGCCAGTTGTGTATGATTTATTATATATATATATATATTATCAGGAAAGCATTGCTATTATAGCTATAATAGGAGTTCTTTTCCCCACTGAAAGATTTAGATTAGAATCTGCCCAATCAGGATTAAAAAATGAGTTTTTTTGGCAGCTCAATAAAAGAAAGAAATCTAAAATGTGCATTAAATTTCATGATAGTATGTCATCATACTGCTAGATTTAGTTTCAGAATTATGCCAGTGAAATTTGAAAGTAATATTAACTAATAATAAAAATTTAGAGGGAAGACCATTAAATGATATAAATAACATTAAAATGAAGTTAATTACTTAAAAATTGAATTACAGTAATCAATGCTGTTTTGGCGAATATTAAACGTTTGCCTAGATGACTGATTACTATTTTTTTTTATTTTACTGCAAAATGAAAAATAAGGCATTTATTAAAATAAAAAAAAAAAGGTTTTAAAGATTTTGTTGTAAAATTCTAGTCTTCGCTACGGCCTTGGTACAATTTTGAAAACTGCCACCAACACCTTAAACAGACTAAGAGACAGAAAGAGGTAACTGTTGTTACTGCTCACCATAATGTTGCCAAATCTCGTATACCGTACATGGAGGTTAGAATAAAAGGATATGTATTGTTAAGATAAAAAAACCTCTGCGACAGAAATGGCTCCGTCCAAACATAGAGGGAAACAGCTGCAGATGCGCAAAATATCTATTGCCGAAGCTCTCGAAGGTCAAGTATATCAAGAGTACATAAAACGAATATCGTTTCAAATTTCCTTAAACTTTAACCCTTTCACAACCAGTTTTTTCTTTAAAAAAAAAAGATAAATTAGGGGTTTATTAGGTAAAATAAAGTAGAAATAGCAATATTCTGCCCAATTATCAGCAAAAATTTACTGTAAGGGCCATTTTGGAGGTGGGACACTGGTCTTTTTAGTTGGGACACATGTGTCCCATTGGGGTTGAAGTGACAATATAAAACATAGTGAAAAGTTCAGTTTTCTAGTTCTAAATGAATTTCACAATACTTTTGAAACAGTTTTATCAGAAAACACCTACCTACACAACATTATTTATGAAATTTCTATGTATGGTACATTGCAAAACCGTTTTTGTTCGGGTTTCTTTATTTTGTTTGGCACAGCGGGCACATCTTCTTGTTGGCCCTTCTAATGGCAAATGATCTCCAACATTCAACATCAGTTTTGTTGCATTTGACGGTCGACCTGATTTCTTCCTCTTGACAATTGCATTTTCTTTGCCATGAGCAATCATTAATTCGGCTAGGGGGACAATGTATTGCAAGAGAGGTATTTTCCTATGTTTGGTTTCTTGAAACAATATGTGTGCATTCACAACAGCTGTCATCAAAAGTTTATAAATACTTTTTTCCACCATTTTGTAGATCTTCTGTCAAAATCATATAGGCATATCTTTTGATCAGACAATCTACTCCTCCCATAAATCTGTTATAGTCGGCAATAGCGGTAGGACAATTTGTCATTACTTTTTCTCCATCTTTCTGCTTGCGTTTTACTTGTATAACATCAGGTCCGTGGCAATTACTCAGAATCAGAACTTCCTTTGAATCTTGCCATCTTGCTGCAAGAGTTCCTCTTCTATTCTGGAGAAATTCTGAATCACCCTTTTTGAAGTTTTTCGTCAGAGAATTTTGCATGTCTTTTCTACGAGAAATACAAGTACCAACAGAAGAAAGGATATGTTATCCAATAAGTTTACACTTGTAAAAAAATCATCAAATGTAAGTGTAACATCTGGGTTACGTATTGTTGAGGAAAGTTTTTAGAACAACTCTTTCTCCAAGTATTGTTCCCTCATGATCTGTATTATCCATGTCTTTGCCAGAATATATATTGAAGTCATAGGTGTAGCCCGTAGCAGCATCACATCTCTCCCACACTTTGATTCCCCGTTTTATGGCTTTAGGGTAAATACTGCTTTAGGCTAGAACGACCTTTGAATTTAGCCATGGATTCATCGATGCTTTGAAAGGGACTATCTCTTCGCGAGCTTGCATAAATGTCCTTTTGAAACATGCCACCACTTCATCCATATAATATGTCTTTGGAGCATTCGCATCTTTTTCTGGATCATTGAAGTACATTTTGCAAAGAGCAATAGGCATCTGTTACGGGAAATCGCATTTTTGATAGCTTCGTTTCCCAATGAAGAATTGCTGGACCAATAATCTGAAAAGTTCGGTACTTGATTATACGACATGACAAGCATAACTCCCAACACAAGCATAATTTCTGAAGGTCTGTGTCAGGAATATCTACTTTTTTTTCATGTCTCAGTATTTCACGCGCTGGTTGGTACATTGAGAAATAAAAATAAGAAGACTTCGTGAAATACACATGAGAAACTTCTAATTCATTAGAGGATCTGTTGATTTTGGCCAGTATTGCAGTGGACGGTCCTTTAGATACATGGAGCCGTGGCTCAAAATTTGGACCAACATTGACCAAATGACAGGATTAGTAGGTTTTGAAATAGTTTTTTTTTATGTTTATTTTTTGCCTTGCACTTATATTTTGATACCTGCTCCGCTTCATCGGGTGAGAAATCTCAGAGTCCGAGTCAAACGGAGGGTCTATGATGCTCAAGACAGACAGCTTTCGTTTCGGTG